GACAGACTCCCATCAAGGTGCTGAGCTGACCCAGCTCTCCTAACCTCATCCAAATGGTAACCAAATCATATGCCTGCCCATGGCTTGATGTTCCATAGCCCAGCTCAGTGTTTTATAAACAAAGGATACTCACTGCCTCTGTCTCAATGGCCTGATTCAAAGCCAAAGTAATAATGGTGAAAGATATTTTAGTCTGCCTGTGCTTCAAGGATGGCTGAACTGAGTATTTTTGTCCATAAAAGGACCTGAAGACTAAATGAGCTGAAGGGCATGTACTGTTCTCTCTCCCACTAACAAAAGCTCTGTTTTCGAGTCTATTTAGTACAGTGGGCAATAAGGAACTACTATAGCTGCTTCCTTTCCTCCTAGACAGAGAATATTGTATTCGTCTCTGGTGCTTTCTGCTATTCTAAATTACAAACAACAACAAAAACCCCTTTCATCTGTCTTCTGCCCTATTGCACTGAATATGCAAAGTTGAAGCATGGAGAGTCAAACTGAATTAGGATAATAATCAATCTTTAGCAATTAAAACCCAAAGTGCAACCAACGTTCACCGAGGTGCTTTTGGCACTGAACAACAAAGCAACACTGAAAGGCTTGGTGCCTCAGATGCCACGTGTCAGAAATTATGTTTCGAGCAGCATAGGATTCCATGGTCTTCACATCCCCCAGCAGCAGCTCCCTCAAAGCTCAGGCTGCAACTATGGAGAAGAGGGACCTGAATTATCTTCTTTCCCTTGTGCTTTCAAACATAGTTATTACAGACTTGCCTTTCTGACAGACAGATTGATATTGAAACTGGAAGCACATCTGGGAAAATGGACTAATTTAGATGTGAGAGTAGATAATAATTAGCAGAGGTGATAATTCTTAAGGCAGTTCTTTTTTGATAAGAAATTACTAAAACTAATATATTTATATATATATTTCAGACAAGAAAACACTTGAGGAAACATTTTACGTAAATATCGGAGGAAACAGATTTAGCAAATTGTCCCATCCCTATTTAGGAGGAGATAAAAGGAAAGTACCATGAGGAAAACAGTATCCTTACCTTAAGAAAATACCTTGGAGAACCATGCATGCTCTTTACTACTGAGTTCATGGCTCAGTAGTAAAGAGCATGCATTGCATATAAAGAATTATGGGTCTAATTCATGCTATCTTCAACTAGAACTTTAGAAAAGAACATTTATGCTGCACCACTCTATGTAGACCAGAAATAGTCAGACTTAAAGTTTAGAGGGTCTACTTTGTTTGTTGTTAAAATGTTAGAAGATCCACATATTATGAAAGAAAAACCTTATAAATGATAGAATTCCATGCCCATGTTCCAGACCTAAGCAATGACCACATTCTTTTCAAATAATAATCCACACAGTCAGCTTTCCTCGGAGGTAGGCGAAACAAAACTGGGGGCCCACATTATCTGAGTGTGGACTCTGATAACCCAGTTCAAAGCAGATATTGTGGGATTTCATGCCTTACTATTCTGGGATACAGGGCTGTGTGGAAGGGCCCTAGATTGGTCAGACTTTATATAAGGCAGCTTCCCATGTCTTCTAAAGCAGTGCTACTTGATATGATAGTCCATGGACCAGTGCCAGTCTAAAAAACAACAGGTGCCAGTTACTGGAGAGCTTCCGGGAAAGAAATAAAACAACTGTAGACAATAGTGAGTAACACGCTGCTGCTCCCTGGCTTGGGGAATGGGGGTGTCCTATGCCAGATCTTCAGCACTACTCTTCTGTGGCGGATCCTCAAAATCATTTAACATTTCAACAAGGTCCCCTTCCACACAGCCCCATAACCTAGAATATCAAGGCAGAAAATCCCACATTATCTGAGCATGGACTCAGATAACCCAGATATTGTGGGATTTTTTGCCTTGATATTCTTGGAAAATAGGGCTGTGTGGAAGGGCCCAAAGTATCAATGTAAGGTCACAGACCTGGCAACTTTGTTCTATAGTCCAAGGGCAAGCAAACTGTGGCTGTATGCTTGTTTGTTTTTTGTTTGTTTGGGACATTTTTGGTCATCCATGAGACCCCTGAGCAATCTGAGAGGAAGTAAATTGGCCTCTGGACCTGCTGCAGTTTCCCATTCTTGTACTGATTAGAGGACTACTCAAAACAGTTTTGCCCTCTTTTGAGGAGAGTATACTGGAAGTGGGTGGCAGTATGACAACTGAGCAAAAGTAACAGCAGAGCTTTGCAGGGTGAGTCAAGGTCTCTAACATTTAAGTAGGAGGTCTGGGGTATCTACTTCCCATTTCCACTGTCTCCATCCAAGAGTTCCAACTGCAGAGAAGAAAATTCTCACATGTTTTCTATATATCCCAAATTAGACAATCTAGCTATGCTGACTTGTTTAAAAGTCTCTGCCTGAACATCTTAATATGACCAGATGCCAGTAAGCAAAGTATGGTCAGCTCCAGTCACTACTTAAGGATATTAGGTGCTGTAGGCTACATTTCAGAGAAAGATACTGCCAAAGCCATCTCTGAGTCTTCTTTGCCTAATGAATATTCAGAGGCAGTGGCAACAGGTGGCTGGTGTGCTCCCACCACATATTCAATTGAACGGTATTTTGCACATTTGAATCCACAGTGTGTTGAGCCCATGGATCTTGAGCCTGCAAATAAGATGCACTTACTCTTTGCCTGGACCAGGGATGAAAGAGGTAGAAGGAGAGTAAGGGCAAGGCAACTGGATGGTTCTTGTTACTCTAGCACAGTGGTTCTCAAACTGTGGGTTCCCAGATATTCTGGCCTTCAACTCCCAGAAATTCGAACAATTAGTAAACTGGCTGGGATTTCTGGGAGTTGTAGACTAAAATACCTGGGGATTCACAGGTTGGGAACCACTGCTCTAGCAGCTGTGGCTCCACCCCACGGATCCAACATGACAGGGTTAACAGCTTGTTGAGGCAATGTATTTGTCATTTGTTTTTAGCAGTTACTCATGGATAAGTCAACCACGGTTTTTAGACTATTCATCAAGTATATGCAGTAAATGTTGCTTGCAAAGCCACCCAATAAAGGAGGACCCTTTACTGAACTATAGTCAGTTTCACATGGAGAATGGAATCTAGTCTGTCAAAAGGCCAAGGCACTTTATCCAATAGAGCTGCTGACTTCTGCAGTTTTGCTGCTGCGCAAAAGATGCTTTCAGGGTTTAAGGGAGAACGAGTAAGCAGCCATTTATGAAATAAAGTGGAAATATTATTGAACCCTGAATCCACTTTAAACTTCTTGCGTGCTTGATTATCAGATGAACTGCAAGTACTTGACTTTAGGCATGCCTCAAGCGTGTGCACTGAGCTGGAAGAAATGGAAATAAAGGGGGGGGGGGGAAAGACGACAGGGGACATAAAAGAATGAAAATGCCTTTGCTGTTCACCAATTTACCTTATTGTGCACCAAACAATGTTGTTTCGTCAAAGCCATTTCTTTTTAAAACATCATTTTAAATAGGATCTCAGACTGCCAATTCAGTGTAACGACTAGTGTCAGTTTGGTCTGGATTGACCAGGGTCCCACATTTTCCCAGTTCTTGTCATAAATATGGGTCATGAGTGCCAATCTCATGATTATTCAGTATAACAATCTGATTTAGCAATCTCACAGTCCAGTGAAATAGTGAACAAAGGGTGAATTAACTCAGTCCATCTCCAGATTCCTCAGACTCTCCCTTCATCTGCATGCTGTAGGCTTGTATTTTCCCTGCTGCAGATTCATATTAACTGCATAAAGCCTTGATAATACCAGTCGAGTTACTACTTTCCCTAGTCACGATTCAACAGACTACACAGGAAAGATGCTCACTATCTTGGGCTAGTTTTGCTAGGTATTTGAAACTGGCCCTTTTTGCAAATGAAGTATATGGTCTATCATTGATGGCATCATCCCCAAAAGTACTGGCTCCACCCCATAGGTTCTACATATATTGCTGATTGCACCGGGATTGTGGCGCAGCTGGCTGAGTGTCAGCTGCATTAAGATCACTCTGACCAAAAGGTCATGAGTTCGAAGCCAGCCTGGGCTGGAGTGGGTGTCCAGCCATTGTGTAGCCCGTTGTCGACCTTTGCAACCCGAAAGACAGTTGCATCTGTCAAGTAGGAAAATAAGGGACCACCTTGTGTGGGAGGCTAAATTTAACTAATTTATGAGGCCATAAAGAAAAAAGACTCCGGGGAATGTGGAATGCGGAAGAACTTCATCGGTGTCGTTGATGGATGATGAAAAGCAGCAGCTCCCCTGGCGGCCAGAAAAAAAAAAGTTAAATAGCCTCGGTGTATTTGAGTGTTAAATGTTGTTTGTCAAACTGGCATTGAATGTTTGCCATATATGTGTTTACTGTAATCCGCCCTGAGTCCCCTGCGGGGTGAGAAGGGCGGAATATAAGAACTGTAAATAAATAAATAAACAAATAAATAAATAAATAAATAAATATGTATTGTCTGGGATTCTTGTTATTTCTTTTTCTTAGTGCAGGAAATGCCCTCAAGAATACAGACTTCAAGGACCACAAGCTAATTGCAGCCATGCTCCCCAAGAAAATAAACTTGTGCAACTTCAGAACCTGTCTGATCAGATTTGGACAAGCTTTCTGATCCAAGCAGCAAAATAATAGCATATAGTAGTGCGTTTCTTGAAGACTTTGCTAGGTATGTTCCTACTTTACATTTTTACTACCCCTTTGGTTTAAGTCAGACCAAAATGATTAAAAACCCTCTCTCAACAATCCACTAAGGCAAGATAATTTGGTATCTAATTCCCAGTGGTGTCAAAGACCTGGATAAAAAATAGATATGAACTTTTTGACTTGAATTCAGCATCTCTCTTTCTTTCCTGAACAAAGGAAAAACATGTAAAGAAAGGGGCATTCAGATTTATTACATGCAGACATTATAAACCAGACACCTTAAAACCATGTTAGTGGTACATTTTAGGCACTATCACTAGCAATAGAAATAGAAATATTAAAATGCATTACCTGTATCTAGGGTATTATCTGTGTTTCTCTGACTCCGTCCAGCTTGGTTTGCAGTAGTGTTCACTGGCATCTTTTTTACTGGTGGTGGTTTCTTAGAAACTGCAGGGACTGCCTTTAGACGTTTGGTAATTCTGTCTGCTGCATCAGCAAGGGATCTGTCTACATACCAAGTTAGATTGGACAGGATCATGCCAGCTTTGACCTCCAGCATAGATTCAGTAAGTTCTTCTATGCCTTTCTGAAACAACAAAGTATCTGGATGAGGAAGTTTCATCATTCTGGGAATGCTGGCATTCATGGCTTGAATGCTTCCAGAGACATCCTTACACAAGCCCCAAGCTTCATAGGCAGTCTTATTTATCAGAGGCATGCTCAGAGACAACCGTATGGATTTGGCTTCAAGTGCCCTGATTCTTGAACTCAATGCCTGAAGCTGTCCTGAGACTACTTTCTCATTTTCTGTTGCAGCAGCTTTGACATTTCTTACTGAGACACAATTGTTTACCAAAAACTTGTTTATTTTTGCTTCCACAACCTGCAGGCGAACTTCGTAATCCTTGTGTTCCTGCATGGGATGCACCTGTTTCTCATCAAGGTGCCCTATTTCTTGTTGATGCCCTTGCAAAGTTAATGATATTTTGCTTTGATCATGGCGAACTGGGCTGGCATGAGGAATGTTTTCATCAGGTGAAGCCTCTGAAGGATTTCTAATTATTTTTGAAGTAAAGTCAAGTTTGTGGTTTCCATTTATTAGTATCTGAAGGGATTCATTCATCTGTTGGAATTGAGGGACCAATGCTGATACACTTTCCACTGTCTCAACCCAACTGCAGCAGGCTTCTGTCTCATTTTTGAAAGTACTCAGTGTTTCTTTTAGGACATAGTTATCTCGGATTGAATCAACGGCCTCATTCAAAACTGTCAATGTCTTATTTATGCCATCCTCAACTAAAACGAAACATTCATTAATACGTCTTTCCGACATTTCATCATGAGCCTGAGCATCAGTTTTCAACTGTTTCTGATTTTTAGTGAGCTCTTGAATGGTAGAATTTAGTATTGTCACAACACTAGTTAAGTTTTCCAACTTTCTGTTTATAGCTTCTGTTTCAATCTGCTGCTCATACTCTGAGTTAGAGCTGAAAGGAACACCCTGCTCAATCAAAGGTTGGAGAATCTCCATATCATAGCAGAGGTCATTAATTTGCTCATTCATTTTGTCCATCTTCTCATCCAAGGGAAACACAAGATTCTCCAGTGTTTTATTTAAAGAACGCATATTCTCCTCCATGCCCTTCAGTTGCATTTCAAAATCACTCTTGCATTTGGACAACATGCCATTGCATTCTTCTTCCAAGGTATCTTTCTGAATCTCTAATGTTATTGTGAGATTGCTAATTTTGCTGTCTTGGACTCTGAGGTCATCATGCAATTGCAGAACCATCAGACTCTGTTTTTTCACTTTCTCATGTAAACTGATCATGTAATCGGTAAGGTTATCACTCACCGATTTACCTGCTGTCGGGACATTTTGGTCTGACCTCTGTTCAGCTGATAAGAGCTGTTCATGTACCTCTTTCATTTGACTTAGACTTTTGTTCAGAGATTCATAATAAAGATTGCTCTTTGAACTTTGATGCTCCAAGGCGACTTCCATAGACCTCTGCTTTTCCTGCAAGACTTTGATTGGCTTGTCACATGTAAAGCTGATGTCTTGTTCAATATGTAGAATCTCATTTCTTATCTCTTGGATTTCTACCTTCGTAGGTCTATGTGTTATCTCTGTGACAATTTTTTGCTGAGAAACATTCAATCTCTTGATCAGCTCTTTAGTGTTTTCAATATCATCAGACAGACCAGAAACAATCTTGAAAATCTGGGCCACTGTTTCTTGCATGTCACTTTGGAGGAATTTGAACTGTTCTTTTACAATTTCTTGGACTAGTTCAGTAATGCTTTTGGACTTGAGACCTAGAGGGGGAAAGACAGAGATGCCCCATAAATAAAAACAGAATGAAAAAAAGACTAATTAACCCCAACCCAATTCCACCAGCATCTTAATATATAAAAATAGAGACAGATAGAGATATTTGTTTTTTCTATCTAGATCCATTCTTTAGGCCTTATTTAGAGGAAGGAAGCTTATATTGCAATTACACTCCTTATATCTCCTGGATTGTACATTATTGCCTTTGCTAAACCTCAAGAGAATTATATGTTTGAATAGCACTTTTGCTAGTTGCTCTCATCCTTTTAATCAGTTTTACTGTCCTTAGGGATGACTCATAATGTGCTGCTTCTTGCAATTATAGACAACTATGACAAGGTGAAATGTAACCACGGTTTCTAGCATAACAGACCAAAGGTTTAAAGGACCTCTCACTCTATCAGATATATAGTTGAATTACTTTGAAAATGATGGACTGCCAAAAGGCAGTGCGGGTACTGAAAATATTTTAATTATCATCCATTTAATTAGTATGAGAAGGACACCATATTTTTTACATAGTGAAGAAGCAAAACTAAACTTCATTGCCTAGTGTGAGAGAACTTAAAAAAAAACTGGAGAGTAGAAATCAATGAATTCCCACAGTGAAGTTTTGGGCCAGTTTTTCACCCCATGATCCACCACAGGATGTGCTAAACCCCAAAATTCAAGGAAGGTTTCCAAACCAGAAGTGGCTAGAACAGTCACTTTAAGAAGGAACATCTCTTTGTATTAATGGACAATTACATCTTTTTGAGGGGAGGCAAGGACATTGGGGAGATCTGGGGAAAGGTCCTTGGTTAGAGACAAATGATCATGGGAACTGCATACAATCCATAGCTGCACTTTCCCTTCCCTTATTAAGATCTTCTATATCAGATATGTGCACATACACTCAGATATTGTGGGGACAAGGGAGAGGGCCTTCTTGGTGGTGGCCCCCTGTCTCTGGAACTCTCTTCCTAGGGAGATTAGACTGGCACCTACCCTGTCCATCTTCCGCAAGAACCTAAAAACATGGATGTTCCACTGTGCCTTTGACTAGACAGTTCCAAAAAATTAGCCCAATATTACTTAAGTTCCAGCACTTTAGCATGGCCCTCCACTCTACAATCCTAACATTTTAATGCCCTTGAACATTATCCTCCCAGCCCTGCCTTCTGAATTTTGCACTTTCCCTTAGCTCTATCTAGGAATTTGCACAAACCCAGAGCCCTCTGAGCGCTTATCATTCTGTAGGTTGCTGTTTTTATGATGTTATGTTTTTACTGTGATATGTTTTTATTTGGTTTTGTTTTGATGCTATCTTACTGTGTTATGTTTTTAACTTTGTGCTCCCTGGGCTTGTCCCTTTGTAAGCTGCCCTGAGCTCCTTAGGGGAGATGGAGGTGAGGTATAATAATAATAATAATAATAATAATAATAATTATTATTATTATTATTATTATTATTATGCAGAATAGAGTTTTGTTCACTATGTATTTACCAAATTAATGTTTCCAAAACCTGATTGTTCATCTAGATGTCAGTATTTGTGCTTTTCCTAACTTTTCTTATAGGTAAAAACAAATGGATTTGGAGCTGGTCAAAGGTATGTATTTTTAAGGAGATACAGACAAGAACATATTTAGTGGAAAAACATCACCTACCAAAAGTACTAGAATATTTTGGGCCATATAACAGGAGTGGGGAATGCATAGCTGTCCAAATATTGATGGACTGCAAACCTTTTCACTGCTCACCCACATCACCAGTGTCAGAAAGGGTCATGGGAGCTGCTGTTCAACATTACCTGGAAGGCCAGCTATCCTTTCCATCCTTAAAATATCCACTAGCTTTCCATGGGGGAAAAAAGCAATGAACCAGCAGAAGAAAGAACTAATTCCAACCTTTTATCAACCAACACCATCCATTCTGAAGAGATATAAAAATCTAATTAAAAAGCATTAGTGATGGGCTATATTTCAACATAGAACTTGTTGAAAATATCATAGCATTTTCTTATTAGATTTTCTGAACCAAAATAGGCAACTTAACTAAATCTATCTCAAGTACTCTAGAATATGAATGTTAGTTGAACTGCAGGTAAAGGCAAAATAAGCACTGTAAGCTCTTTCCTTTCTTTCAACTTTTATTCACATCATATGTGAAACCTCCTTCCATTGTAACAGCACAATAGGGAATTGGTGTGCACAATATGGAGGTATAATTTGGATGAATTGGCTTTAATTAAAGAAGGCACCTGAGTTCAATCTATTCGGCTGCATCTTTAATATTGATCATTATGGATTAACGTGACTATATACAGGAATGACAGTTTTATATTGACCTGTCATGTGAAAGAGAAAATATGAAACAATATAGCCTCCATATAGACATTAATAATTATGAACATCCACACTCACTTCAAGAGAGCATATTAAACAGAAATTGAAATTTTAATTAGAATGAGAATAATGCAACGAAACTTCCATCTAACCTTAAAGAAAAAGAAGGATGGAGAAGGAAGGAAATGTTGAAACAGAAATTGCATGTGAACAAAGCCTTGCCTTATGGGGGTCAATTAAAGAATTCCCTCATCTCTTGCCAAATCCTAAACCAAGGCTAATTGGCTAAAGAAACTTAGACAATCACTAATTGTTTAATGCAGTAAAGGCCACCCTGAAGGAAAATGAAATAATCGCCTTCATAGATTAGGTGCCTGAGGGGCTCCAGAAAGCCCATGGAAACCTAAAGATGAGAAGAATGGCATTAAAATCCATAATGTGATACTTGTTTACTTATCCTGCTATTCTTTAAAAAATATGCAATGTTCAGGCACACATCATAACACCTTTGGCCTAAATCCCCTCATTCCAAAAAGATTAACCCAGATACAAGTGCAGCAAACATTTCAGTTGGCAAGCAGAACAAAGCAGACAAAAGAAAACATAAACTAGGGAAGTGTCTGGCACCGAAGCTTTGCAACCCTTGGAGTTCTTTTAAGCACTTCTGATTCTCATAGCTACCTCTAAGGTGGGCTGATGTTATGCCCCACTTGTTACAAAAAAGAGGTTGTGGAGAAAAACAACTTGCCGAGAGCCACTTAAAGTGGAGTTTGTCACTGAGATGAAATTTGAAATTAGAGCTTTGCAAGCCAGGCTTAACCTAAAACAGGCAAAAGGAAAGATAGTGAATCATCCTCATTCCATGTACAGAAATTGGCTAATTTGACTTACAGTCTCCACCATACTAAAGACAACAGGTAGTTTAAGAGTTCTAGGACAGGCTAATAAATGCAGCCCAGCCTTCCTTTAAACAACACATTGGAGGGAACAGTAGAAAGAGCTCAGTGGCTTTTGCCAATGCCTTCCCCTCAACATCTTCTACCTAAGATAGTTGCCTCACTTTGCCTCGTGATGAGCCAACCTCCTTCCACATCATAGTTTTCGTCACATCTAATCACTTCTGATTCAGGACAGATAAATCTGGAAATGCACTTAAACTATTTCCAAATATATCAGAAAGTATCTTCACATATTTCTGATCAAATGTGAATTTTGACTGAGCTTCCTACATTTCTCATTTTCTTTCCCATCTTTGACCCCACAACTCAGCATCTACTTAACAGGGCAAACACATTGACAGCAACCTACAGTAAATGGGGACAGGGAAGAATGTAATGCTTTCTTTTGTACATGGCATGCTACCTGGGTAGCTCCAGAAAATCAAAATTTACCCGAGAGAAATTGTTCTGCTATTCTGCTAGGCCATTCAGCTGTTGATGTGCTCAGAGGAGAAAGGAAGATCCAAAGCTGCACAATGCATATTATAAGAATATTTGCAAATCTAACAGTTCATTCATTGAAAATATATTCTTCAAGCAGCCAAATAGCTAACTGTAATGTCACCTGATGCCCAATTTAAAAATTAAAATCAGAAACAAAATAGGGTGTGATGCCATTCTCTCTGCGAAAACAAGACCAGGAGTGGCACAGACTTCTAATATCAAAAGATAGCATAAAGCTAAAGAATTTTTTGGGCAAAATGGGCATAATCAAAAACAAAAATGGCAAGGACCTTACAGAAGCTGAAGAGATCAAGAGAAGATAGTGAGACTATACAGATTTGTATAGGAAAGATAATATAGGCAGCAGGAGATGATGGGATCCCAGTTGAACTGTTTAAAATCTCGAAATATGATACTGTCAAGGTGATGCATGCCATATGCCAGCAAATATGAAAAACACAAGAATGGCCATCAGATTGGGGGGAAAACCCCACTTATATCTCCGTACCAAAAAAAGGAAATGACAAAGAATGCTCAAACTTTTGTTCAGTGGTGCTTATTTCACATGCCAGTAAGGTAATGCTCAAGAATCCACAATACATGGAGCAAGAGTTGCCAGAAGTACAAGCTGGGTTTAGAAAAGGCAGAGGAAAAAGAGACCAAATTGCCAATATCCGTTGGATAATGGAGGAAGGCAGGCATTTTCAGAAAAACATATATTTCTGATTTATTGACTATTCTAAAACCTTTGACTGTGTGGATCATAATAAACTGTGGCAAGTTCTTGGTGGTGTGGGGATACCAAGTCACTTTGTCTGTCTCCTGAGGAATATGTATAACAACCAAGAAGCAAAAGTAAGAACAGACCATGGAAAAACATACTGGTTCAAGATTGGAAAAGGAGTACAGCAAGATTGTATACCCTCACCCAACCTATTCAATTTGTATGCAGAACACATCATGTAATGTGTGGGACTTGATTAATTTTGTATTTCTGTGAGTATGCTGCATTTATTTTGTATTTCTAGGCATGAAGATTTCTGCAGACAAAGACTGCAGCCAGGAAATCAGAAGACATTTACTTCTTGGAAGGAGAGCAATGACCAATTTCAATAAAATAGTGAAGAGTAGAGACATCACACTGCCTACAAAGGTCCGCATAGTTAAAGCAATGGTATTCCTCATAGTAACCTATGGATGTGAAAGAAAGACCAT